GGAAGAAAAATCCACATATGGTTTACAAATTAATTCATATTCATATATGGTTTATGTGATCATTCATGTATGATTTATTCATGTTTGGCTTATATGTGGGTTATCAGTTTATAATTCATATTCATGCATAAATTATTTGCCATCATCAAAAAGGGGGAGATTGTTGACCCTATAGTTTTGATGATGATTTGTCAAACAATTTATCGTTAATATATTCTCTAGTTTTTGTGTTTATGTTTCTCTTTTTAGGTATTTCAACACATGTCAATCAAGCGTTAAAGATTCAAGTTCATATGTGTGGATTTACCTAGGTATATGTTTGGATTACTTACATATATTGTATGATTATATCTAAGCTCAATATATGTACACTTAACACGATTTTTTTGATGTTTTCTATCATATAAATAATTTTTCATCAAACGTCGTTACAATAACTCTTATCTCATGTTTACAGCTCTTTCATACTTCATTATATACATATAATACATGCATAATATATATATATACATGTTTACAAGCCTTATGTCAATTTTCATGTTCACGAAAAACAGGTTTTCTGAACACTTTTCAAAAACAGGGAGTTTTCACAAACGAAAATTGATTTTCCAAAAATTCCTTTTCAAACATGTTTATTTCATCATTTAGAAACTTTCCCCAAAGTTTCACCATTTTTGGATTTGATTTAATATTTTTAATGAATTTTCAAAACAGCCCTAAAACCTGTCAATATGCCATATATCAGATTTCGGTCGACCGCCAGCTTTGATTTCTTCTTTCTCTGAGTCTTTGAGCTTCGCGGTAGACCGGACCGGTCGACCGCCGAACTGTCAGAACTTTACAACGGTTAGTTTTTCCAGCTGTTTTCAAATTGGGTTTTTGGTCTTTTACTTATGTTTTTGCTGTTGTATTGGGGTGCTATATATACCCCATTGCTGCTCTTCTTCTATATACAAAAGAAATCCATTTTTTGTGTTTAACAAAATATTAAGTGTGTTTAAGAGCTGTTTAAAGTTGATTTCATCAATCCGTTTTTAAGAGAAGTTTTTCTACAACAAGAAGTGGCCTTCAAATCCTATTGGAATCAGCTGTATTGTTCTTCTTGTTTGAGAAATCTTCTAAACTCATATATAGCTTGTTATTTCATTTTCACTTCATTTAGCTATATTTATTGAGTTTCATTCACTGTTATCACACACACTTATTGAGCTTAATATTTTCATACCATATAGTGTGGGTTGTGGGGTGTGATTTAGTGAGTGTGAGCTTCATTGTGTTCTCATTTGTTATTTGAGAACAAATCATTGTATTTAACTTTTATTTGTGAGAATCACTTGTAATACACTTGTACACCGAGAGAAGTGTGAGGCGAGAGACGGGGTCAAATCTAATAGGAGTGGCGTCGGTTGACGAACCTAGGGAGAGGTTGTAATCGATCACTTGAGGAGGAGGACACGGGCTAGGTTCCTACACTTAGTGTGTAAAGTGTGATTGCATAGTGTTTGTGTAGTGTGAGAGTTTTCAGTGATCTTGTAAACCGAGTGTGTAGAAGTTCCGGCTTCCAAACCGGATTGTGATAGTGGATATCTCCTCGAGGTGAGGAGCGGGGACGTAGGTCGTGGTGACCGAACCTCGTAAACATATCGTGTGTTTGTGTTTTGCTTAGCGTACTTTCTATTCATCATTATTGTTCATATCCATATCATATTTCTTCTTGCAAGAACAAATTGATCAACATAATTTTAATTAGCTTTTAATTAGGATTAGATTAGCATAAGACCCTAATCAACCCCCCCTCTAGGGTCTAACAAGATATCTACATTAGTCCCTAGATCTTTACTGTTTTGAAATTAGTCCCTAAAATTGTTGAAATTGGTATCAGGCTCCTCAGCTCTTGAGTTTTTCCAGAATTACTCTCTAAATTATTGAAATTGTTATTAGGTGTCTTGATTCGTTTTTTTAAATTACTCGCTTTGGATTCATTATTTGCGTAGTTACTATGAATTATTGGTGTTTTAAAATAAATAAATAAAAAGATATTGGCACATTGTCCTTACTTTTCTACTTTCAACAATAAGTTGATTTTGTATGCTTATGTGGATACAGTTTCGCACTTGCAAAAAAGATTGACTATTCACACTTTGAATTCACTTTCAATTTGACAAACACCCTCTAATGTTATTAGTAATAAGGTAGTTTAAAAAGCATCATGAGGCTTCTAAAAAGTATCTCAAAAGCAAGAATAGTTTGAATAAGCATGAAAAATAGTTTACCAAACACCATTATTGATTGCTTTCTAAAAGATAAGTAAATGCACCCTAAATAAAATACTGAACTAAAACAATGTCTCAATGGAAAACAAACGGTGTAAATAAAAAATAAAAATAGAATAAATAACAAAATAAAAAATATTAACATCCACGCTGTGAATGAAGAGATTGTCCTAATAATTTTGCTCTACATGGTCTATAAAGCTAATTACACTTCTTATCAGAACCGCCCGCTTGCATACTGACAATTCTAATAGGATGAGTAGTCCATAAAGCTCCATGCCACTTCGCTTGCAACCTCAAATCAAAAAATTTCCTATCATCCCCAAATAGCATTTTACAGCCTAACATTTCTATGATTTAGGAGGCGTTTGGTAGCTTGCAAATAGAGTGGTTGCAACCCCAGTTGCATGAATCTAGGTCCAATTTGTCCAGCTGCTAGTGTTTATTTTGCTGCAACTCATAGTTGCAGTTGCAACCACAGTTGTAAAACAACCCTTAGATGAACGTATGACTTACGTCAAAAATGGCCGCAAGTCACAGTTACAACTTAGTTGCAACTGACCCAAATTTATTAAAAATCAAAATCATTACTTAATATTTCAAAAATAAATTCATTAAAGATTTAAAATAATCTTTTAAATTATTATTATTATTATAATTTCTTCAAAAAAGTATTTCAAAAAATAACATTAATCTTTTAAATATTATCGTATTTATAAATAATTTCTTCAAATACATTTTCCTAAATATCAATTTATTTTTAAAAATTAAATATGTTATATTAAATGTTAATATAATATCTTTTAAAATAAATATGATTATATTTAAAAATAATATATTTCAAAAAATTTATTTTTTAAAGAAACTATTATTTAAAACTATTTTTTGCCGAAAATATTTTTTTTTACCAAAAAATTAATATTTGCTTAAAGTTTTTTCGAAATATTTATTTGCTTGAAAAAATTTGTGTGAAAGAAAAAATTTTAAAAAAATAATATTTCTTTAAAATTTAATATTAAAAAGTGTTTAATTTTTTGAAAAGTAAAAAATTTTCCTTGAATTACTATTATTTTTTGAGGAAACATTTTATTATTTTAAAATAATCTATAGCTTTTAAATAATATACTTTTTAATAATATATTTTTCTAAAATAATATATATATATTAAATGATATATTATATTATTTTAAAGTAATATATTATTTTATAAAATTATATATTACTTTTTTAAAATATATTAATTTTTAAAAAAATAATATGCTATTTTTCAAAATAATATATTTTCCTAAAATATATTATTTTTTAAAATATATTAATTTCATAAAATATAATTTTTGGAAAACTTCAATAGTATTTTTTAATAAATTATGAAAAAGAATTAAATTTTAATTAAATATATTTACAAAACTATACTTTTACCAAAAAAACTATGATTTTACAAGATTATTTTATTTTATAAAAATATTTATATTTTAAAATTATTTTTAATAAAATATCATTTTTAAAAATATTATCTTTCAAAAAATGTTTAAAAATTTTAAAAGTTAATTTACTTAATAATAAAAACCATTATTTTCTTAATAAATATTTTAAAAGTGTGAAAGGAATTAATAATTTTTTAATGGTAAAAAAATAAGTTGCATATGTTATGTTATAAGCAAAATCAAACAGCTACAACTATAAGTTGCAAAATTTAAATTTTGAACTAAACAATTGCAACTGTAGTTGCATGTAAGAAGAGTTACAACGTCTCAGTTGCATGCAAGTGACGCTTGCATTGCAACTATAGTTGCAAGCAACCAAACGCCCCCTTAGGGTTTGTTTGGATTGAGGGGAATACGGGAGAAGGGAAGTTAGAGGAACCATTCACCTTATTTGAGAACATTTAGGAGGTGCAGTTATTCACCCTAGTTCCCTTAGTGCATCCCTTAATAGTATAAAATTTGTTACCCCCCAAATTGGGTTGTAACCAAGGGGAAGGGAAGAGTTCCCTTCCCTTCCATTCTCTTCTCTCACCTGACATCCCTTAACTTCTCTTAACCCGATTGAAATCCAAACATGCCCTTAGTGCTAACTGTAAACAGGCTTATATCACATTCTTAGTTATAGTCCTATAGCCACACGAAGAGAACAATAAATGACAGAACTGCCCCCTATTTGTGAAAGAGAGCGGCCCAAGGTGGGGAGGTTGAAGGTTCTCATAGGATTGTTTCTCATTCTCACGTTGTATACCGTCGAAATAAACACATCATCTAAAAGTCAACAGCAGCAACTTATAACAAAAATGTAAAAAAAAACACAGATCTTGTCTCATTAGTCAATATCTCACCCCTTCTTTGACAGGGGGACCCACTGAAGAGGATAGTGCGAAATTGCGGGGGCCGGTACCATCACCCGCCGCGAACAAATTCTACACGCTCTCCTTTCCCTCGTCGCCCTCTCAACGTCGCTCTCTCGCTATCTCTTTCACCCAAAATTCCTTCCAGCCTCAAAACTAGGGTTTTCATCTCACCGTCTCGATCCCGATCTATTTTCAGTCGAGATTCCATCGATCAGTTGGATCCTCTCTACTAGGGTTTCGATCTGACGAATTAGCAGCAGTAAGCATCGAATTATGTCTTGATCTACCGAGCGATGGTGCTTGGAGCTTGAGATTGGGTCAGAGTGGAAGAGAAAGGGAGGAGGAGATGTTTGTGAGTCGGCC